ACCAGTTATTGTTTTGGAGCTACCATGAGCTACTTTCAAGAAGTCAATTGGAAAGATAGAAGATGTTACGGTAGCAATGAAATAACAGCATGGAAGATATGGCAGAGTCATCCTAGATGGAGGCTCAAGTGTAACACCTCCTTGATCAAATAGCTACTCTACAAAGATAAATAGAAGCTTATAGGAAAAAAGAGTTGACATCTACTAAGCTGAAATTAACCAAGTCTAAAATATACTCTGAAACTTCAAGGCAAGAAGATGTATGTCAATGGCTCTTTAGTGTGCAACAATGCCTCCAATTATGTGAGACAAGCACCACTCAAAGAATTATACATACAACTAGTTATTTGAGAGGTGCAATAAGCATTTGACAGCGACATTTAGTTCAAAATTATAGAGTTGAAAGTGGATTTTGTAACTGGGAGGAGTTTGAGATCAAACTTAGGAATCAATTTTGGCCCATCAATGCAAAGAAGTTAGCATGCAATCAACTGGCTAATCTTATACAATTCAAGTTAATACAAGATTACATCTCTTGATTCAAGTTTTTATATTTTTAAATTAATAATATTTCAAAAACAAAGATGATGGATTGATTTGTATAAAGGTTGAAACTTGTGATTCAATAAGAGGTAGAATTAAGTGATCTACAAATATTTAAAGAAGTAATTAAGATTGTTAAAAGGATCAATGCTATATATTTTAAAAACCATAGAGCTCAACCTACAAGGCAAAATCCTATGCCACTATCTAATAATATGGCACAACAACCAATGCCAATAGAAATTAACTCCTTATAAGGACTATTGACACTAAAAAAAATAACAAATATTAGTATATAAGGAATTATGTTATTATTGTTAAAAGTCAAGCGATCAGATCAAAGATTGTTCAAAACATCAAAATTTAGATACTAACCAATCAAGGTGAATTCACAATCTTAAGACTCACTAAAATAATAAAGAAGTAAAACAAAGAAACATAGCTTCTTAGTAAAAGTACCAAAGACTAGTATTGGAAATAAGTATTGTCTCTCTTAGACAAACGGCATGATCTCAGACATCTATTAGAAAGATTTATTGGTGTATCTAGCAAGTTGACTAAAAAGACAATCATGTTAAGTGTTTATAGATTGTGGCTCAACAAAAAATTATATCTTGATTAAGATTGTCAACCAACTTAGTATTAAAATAAAGGTGATTAAATGAAGAACATAATAAGTGAGACATGTGAAGAAAAAATCTTGAAGTTGAATGACACCTATGCCTTGAAAGAGAAGTTTAAGATAACAAAGCTCACATATGATATTATCTTTGGTATTCCATGGCTAAAGATAGAAAATAAATAAGTTGATTAGCTAACAAGGACAATTTTCTTCAAAGATGATGGACGCAAGGTAATTCTTTATGCCTTTACATCAAGTGAGGTAACAAAATAATCTATTGCTAAAAGCTTACTTGTAGAGATAATCTTTATGAAGAAGCAAATATAATATAAGCAATCAATATATATGGTGGTTCCAAATTTTATTTCAGTGGTAGAAAAGATAGCCAAAAGAGCAAAATAGGTAGAGCAACTCATATATGAATATCGGGATGTTTTTTCAATTGACTTAAGTAGTGGCATGCCACATGATCAAGGTCCCTCCTTTTAAATAGAATTATTGCTTGGAATCAAACCAAAAAATTGGCCAATTTATCACCTAGCACCAAATGAATTTAAAAAGCTGCAAAAGATATTGGAGGAACTCTTGAAGAAGAGCCTTATTCAAAAAATCACATTGCTATAGGGAGCACTTGTGCTTTTTGCATCCAAAAAGGATGGTGGACTTTGGCTTTGCATCAGTTATTAAGGCCTTAATAAACAAATTATGAAGAATACATATCCACTTGCATGCATAGATAATCTTCTTGACCAACTTTGAGATACAACCACTTTTAGTACATTGGATCTTTCCACTAGCTATTGGCAAATATCTATTGAAAAGAAAGATACAAAAAAGATGGCATTTCATATGCACCATGGACATGTTGAATGGCTTGTTTTACCTTTTGGTTTCACCAATGCTCTAGCCCCCTTTATGATTTACATAAATAATTTTTTTTGAGACCTTTTAGATAAGTATGTAGTTGTCTTCATCAATGATATCCTAGTCTATAGTAAAATCTCTAAAGAGCATAAGTAATACCTACAAGAAGTATTGCATTGGCTACAAGATAATTTCTTCTATTATAAGTAATCAAAGTATAAACTTTAGAAGTTAGAAGTCATATTTTTAAGGCATGTAGTATCCTCAGAGGGCATGCATATAGAGTAGAATAAGGTGAAAGTAGTGGAAGATTGGCCAACCTCCAAAGATGCTTCTAAAGTCCGCTCATTTTTAGGCCTTGCTTGATATTATTGCCATTTTATTTGGCAATTTAAACACATTGCTACTTTATTAATAAGCCTATAGAAGAAGGGTGCTCTATTTATTGAAAATTAGAGCAACAAAGTGCCTTTGATAGGTTGAAGGAGGCACTCATTATCGCTCCAATATTATAACCATATGATTCCAACCTTATATCTTTACTTAACATTGATGCTTCCAACTTTGCTATTGGAATGGTTGTTTAACAAGACTTTGGTAGGAGCCTTCAATCCATGGCGTATAAATCATATAAGTTCAAAAGGGCAAAGTGTAATTATTCTGCATGTGATCAAAAGCAATTAGCAATTATACATGCTACAAAACTATGGCAACACTATTTATTATTTTAAAGATTCTACTTTCACCATTGTCAATAATAAAACTTTGATATTATCCTTTAATTCATATTAAAATTGATTGACAAGAGCTTTGTTATTCTAATTCATGTTGCAAGCAAGGTTTTAGAATTTAATAGCATATATGGTGGCTGATTGTAATCTTTGTCATAAAGATAGAATTTTGGACTCTAGTATTTTTTTTTAATTACTTTCTCTAAATATAGTCAAAAATACTTCTAGAAATAAATTTAAATCATAAAAGAGTTGTAAATCCTTTTCCATCAAAAGTGCAAATCAAAAGTTAACTTATTGACGAAGTTTCTACTCCATCAATTAACTACAAACATAGGTAAAATCAAAGTAATATTTATGAAGCTTTTTGGAAGCTTTTCAAAAAGATATTATGAAATTAATCTATTTTTACTTACTTCTACTTAATCATATAGGTAATAATTGGAGTAAATATGTATGTCCATAACACAACTATAAGACCATGCAATCTAAGCATGTTTCTCTATTTTGAGTGCAAAAAAATAAATTATGATTAGGACAATATTGTCATTGTATTTAATATTTTTCTTTGCAATTCAAGCAACCATCAATGTATGTATGTGTGTGTTTTTTTCTTTTTTTTTTTTTTTTTTTTTTTTAAATTTATTTTGCATCATTTGCATCTGAAGTAACTTAAAAAAATACAAGCAAATAGATTGATGGATGGATGCATATATAGATGTATTGCCCTTCAAGTGGGTGAAAAAATAAACAAATAGATATACCTAACTATAATAAAAAATAAAATTTCAAAAATAAAATTCCAAGGATATAATATAATTTTTTCAATAAACAATATGGCAATTATGTACAAAATGAAGTCAAAACAAGAAATAGCACATGTTGACTTCTTTTTGTATGTACAGAGTCGTTAAAGTAATTGTATTTAAAAAATTCCTTTGATCTTCTGCATTTTTTTAGTAATAATATATCACTATATCATTGCAATGTTATTGGACATATCTTCCAGGATTCCTCACAGGTCCAACACGTAGGCTGCATGGTTTCAGCATTATCAACGAAAAACTCTGAGTGAATGATTGAATGGAGGCACAATCCAAAACAAATATCTATAGAATTCTTCAAAGGTTTCTTTAAATGCCACAACTCTTTATACACAGTGGTTTCTCTTTCAGGACACTTCAAATTTGACTACTGGATTATCACATTTAGAAAATAATCAGGTGAGAGCGATTTCTGTTTTCAATATATTTAAAGAAACCTAATCTATTAAAAATGTCGTAAAAATATAATTTTGTAAAACCTTTATCTTTACATTGTATATTGGAGATGAATACCAGCTTCAACCCAACATAGTTTTAGAAGCGAATGTTTGCATTGACCACCAACATATCCAAAAATAATTATCGGACGGCAAGAATGGTGGTTGGCTTCCTAAGACACAAATCCTCACATCCCGCGATGTCGTAATAACCAGTGTCGGGTTCGCATCCCGATGCCGAAGATGCCTGAGTCGACGTGAGCGCGACACCATCACCAGACCGCACTCCGAAGTGCATGCAACTGGCTCTCGACGACTAGGTTTCGATCACAAACCGGAGATCACGGAATGGTCAAGCACAATTTCCCATTGTAATATCGCCAACAAGAAGTCTTGCGCCGCACTACGAGACTATAAATTCCAGGCGCGTACTAAAATTTGTCACTGTAGCCACGAAAGTGTTCCCCGGCACCAGTGCCTCATCGGCAACGCACGAGATCTCGGCTGCCAAATCTGGAGTTGTGAAGAAACTCCTGCGTTGCAACAGAGACCTCTTTCTCTTTTCAATCGAAACCTTGTGAGAGTAACCGGTTGTCTTATACCAACCCTTTGACTTGAATGGAACTCTCTTGACTGTAGGTTTGTGGAAAGTAAAGGTTCCATTTTACAGTGCTGATGATTAAAATGAAGGAGTTCTTGTCTGTCAGTGGCGGAAACTTGCTCGATTGGATCGGTCTTCTTCCCCGAGTTTGTGCGTCACCATGGTACCAACTAGGCTGACGCTGCGAGCTTCCCGAGAGTGGTCAATTTGCAAAAGATTCTACCGCTGGAATGCGGTGTTCTCGTGACGATTATCTTTTGGGTCAATTACAGGTCATGCTCACCAGGCCTCCGTTGAACCATACCGTTGCATTGATGACATATAAGCTGGAGACTGACGCTGTCAGCTGCAGCTTTCAAGTCCCCAACCAGTTCTCGCAGGCTCTGAGAGGTTTCTGCTATCAGCCAATGAGACTGACTGAGTTCGTTCAGTACCGTTTCTAAGCTTTTGAGCCCCGTTCAGCCTCTGCAAAGGGGTTTGCTCTCGATCGTTGTGACGATCACGCGCAAACGCACTGTTGCTATGTCTCGCGCCAATCTAGTGCCGTTTCTCATTGTGCTCCAAGTCGTCTGTTGCATGTTGCAAGGTTGGTGAACTCGCTTGGTTCAATGCAAGGTTTGGGTGAAATTATTGCTGAGAGTTGTCAAGAGTGTATATTGGTTCGTGCATTGTCATTATTGATGATTGATAGCTAAAGGAGATCATGTTGCGATGACGTGCAGTCGCGGAAGCGGCGACGTTCAACATCATCAATGGGTGCCAATTCACGGTGTGGGTAGGAGTGCAGCCCAACGCAAAACTGCCGGTGCTGGCCAACGGTGGTTTTGCTTGTGCCTCCGGTGACAAGGTAGCTGTGACTGCGCCACAGGGCTGGGGCGGGCGGTTCTGGGGACGCACAGGTAGAATTCGCTCCAATCTGTGCAGGAAGGTTTCTTTTTTCACGATTGAATTGGGTGCAGTGTTTTCATTCTCGAGAAGTCGCAAGTGATCCTACATTTTCTGTTTCCTGTGCTTATTATTTAAGAAAAATTATTTAAAATATTTTTGAAACTTTTCGTGGGAGTAGATTGCAAATTTGATGCAGCTGGGAAGGGCCTATGCGTAACTGGTGATTGCGGGAACGTTCTCCATTGTAACGGCGCCGGGGGCAACCCTCCTGCGTCCCTGGCAGAGATTACACTCAATGGATCCGGTGGACTGGACTTCTATGACATAAGCCTTGTAGATGGCTACAACCTGCCTATTTCAATGAAACCCATCGGTGGAACCGGTGAATGTGGTGCAACTGGATGTATCAGCGACTTAAACACCAAGTGCCCCGAAGCCCTTAAGGTAAAGCATTCTAAAATCGCCCTATTTCCCCTACAGGGCTCTCACTTCGTCATTTTTCCATTTCCAATTAGTCCTGTCTACAAGAAATTGCCTCCTTAGATGCATTTTCCGAAATTCTGATTGTGAATGTTTTGAACGTTATGTGCAGTTTTGGTCAGGGTTCAAAGTGGCTGGATGCAAGAGCGCCTGTGCGGCGTTCAATGAACCACAGTACTGCTGTACTGGCGCTTACAACACAGCCGCTACATGTCCTCCCACCCAGTATTCCAAGGCTTTCAAAGCCGCTTGTCCCACTGCGTACAGTTACGCATACGACGATGCCACCAGCACCTTCACTTGCAAAGCGCTGGTCTACGATATCACCTTCTGCCCTCCCGGAACCGCCTGATTCTAAACTTTGAAGGCATGCCAGGCACTTCAATATACGTTGAATTGATGCTTGTGGCAATCTGGCGCAGCGAATCGATAGCTCTACTCATGAAACTTCTTCAAATTGAGCAATGCGTTAGTCTAATCGGTATCAGTTATAGGTTTCCTTGTATGGAGTGGGACAAGTTTTGATTGGAGTGGGTGATTAAAAGTTGAGTTCAGGAGATCATCTGAAGCCTATTGCATGCATGTGGGAGAATTTTTAACGTACAAGTAGCACTGATGTAAAGAGTTGGTTCTGCTTTTCAGAAATGTGTTACTGTTTCGGTTTTGCATTAGCAACGTCGGTTAGCGGTCAAATTGTATGGTGACATCAGATACATTTCAGATCTGATTGTCAACGTTTTACAGCAAGCAGTAGTCGTTCGAATCTTCGCGAAGAAATTCTCGTAAGAGCATGGGTAATTTAATAAAACTTGAAAGTCTCATTTCTTCCTTGTCTCGAAACATTGTCGTAACCCAGTTGTAAGACTTGTCCAAATGCCTGTCAGGAAAAAAGTCTCTCGATTTGTGTTAAGAAGCTTCTTTTGAGCCCACTGACTGTCATCACTCATATCAGCTTCTAAGCATCACTTGTGCAGTATCAATACCGCACACGGAAAAGGTACCTCAGGATCCAGCAGTAGACAGAATTCTTCCAACCTGTGGCTGGCCGAAGCTTGGACCTTCTCCACTGGCAGGATACTCCCTTCGAAACCTGCACAACGGGCACAGGAGGTTTCGTTCGCAGCCGCATTATTCGGTGAATTCTGCTGCTCCTTCGTGAGCAGGTCTTTCTAATTAGTGTGTATAATAAGATTATACGCAAAACTTCATCCTTATGTACTACTTACACAGGACACCGTGGGACTACCGTGTAGATCTATTCGCTCCGACCCCCCGCACACACCTCCCCAGCCCCCCTTCCCGGTTTTCTGACAACTCCAATCCCGATCTCTAGGAATGTGACATGGAATTCACCGACGTTCACAGACACCGCATCTTCGAAGAGCATCCATGTCAGTGGGTTCTCGCTGTCAGTGAACGTGGGTTTGAGATGGGTACTAGGAGCATAGAATCACCAGTGTTTTTTACATGCGTTTTCTTTTTTCTTCTGACACAAAAACGGGGTATATCCAATGCATCATTAGAGTAGAAAAATTACAACAAATTACTTAACTCCTTGTACATTGAAACCAAGCTAAGAGTACCAAGAATGTGGAGTAACTACTAAGGCAAGTTTATTTACATTTTTGTGTAGAATCACATCACACCAAGGTATTCTAGAATTCCATTTAATGAATTTGTCACACCTAAAATCAGTTATATGTCTGGTCATCTAAGAGTTGTTCCATCTCTTGAGTGAAGAAGACTTGTGTAGCAGGTGTTACATAATTTTTTTTTATATAAGCCAAATAAACATAGTTTCTTTGATGAATTGGGGATTAAATCAAGTATCATTCCAATTAAATGAGAAGTCTTGTTCAAAGAGAGTTATCCATTTTTGTAATATTATATTAAAAGTAGAACTATTACTATAAAGTAGCTTTATATTAAGTTTGGCTAAATATGTTATGAATTCTTCACCAATAATTTAAGAGTACAATAAGAGATCAAGATCAATTTATTAATTGGACCATGGCAAAAAAAATGCCAAAAGCTCTGTTTCTTATTAGTTTTTTTTGGCACAACTCCAATAATTTTTAAGAGACTTTTAACTTTTTTTTTTTTTTTTTTTTTTTTTCTTTGAGTCTTACTCACTTTAGAATTTTGTATCAAAGTAGAAGGTTTTAGATAGAATACGTACTCAAAAAAGTTTTATTTTTGTAATGTAAGATAAGATAAATCCAATTAGTTTCTTTTGTTTCAACATATTTTGAGAGAAGTTGGAATATCATGTCAAGAAGATGTTTAGGCTTTGATTTCTATAAATTAATGCAATTATTTGAATTTAGAAGGATCTTATTATATTAAAGTATTTTTTTAATATATTACAAATAAATATAAAAGAAATACAAATTGAAGCTACAAAATAGTAGAATGTCAAATATAGCCAGTGCTTTCTTTATAAAGAATAGAGATATGGGCTCTTTAAAGAGGTTTTTGATACAATGGAGATTGTTTAAATAAAAAATTCCCTCTTGATATTGATAAAAAAAATAAAAAATTAATGCTTTCACTATAAGAAATAGTTTTGTATGTCATAAAAAAAAGTTAAAGTATTGAATTATAGAAACTTCTACATATGTGACTAAAATTTTCTAATTGTGTTCTATATTTTTGACCTAGTATTTTGTTTATAATTTGAAGTAAGGGATTAGATTGGATTTGGTCTTTGTGAGTACCATAGATGATGTTAGCAATTTTTAGTGAAAGGTACAACATTGAAGGATGTCAATGCAATAAAAAGATTGAATAAAGATGCAAGAATAGAAACTAATAATAACTCATTGTAGTAATATTACAAATTTAAAATAGAAGCATTGATTAGATTTTATTTTTTTATTTTTTATTTTTAGAATTTAGATATTCCATAGTTAGTGTTGAAAATACAATGAGCTTATTTGTTTTGTCTTATTAGCATTTTAGCTATATAAAACTATGTAATTTTTTGTATTCAAATGAATAAATTAAAAAGCCTTAATTTATGGAAAAGTATGTCAACATTGAAATAGTTTTTTGAATCATTTTAGAAGAGATAATTCATGAAGTTGCAAGACATAAATATATTATTTTCTTGATTTTTTAAAGATATTATTAAATAGAAATGGTAGACACCAATAAATGTAAAAAAAAAAATTCAATGGAGTGGAGACCTTTCCAATTTAAAAGATTGTTATTTGGAGCCAAGAAGACACTAATGACTTTTCAACAAGGAATGGAATTAATATTTTGACCTTTCTTAAAGAAATTCTTTTTCAACGATGGAATGGTATATGATAATGCTATCAACCACATCTACTACTTACAAAGCATTTTGTAAGTATGTTGTATCCATGGTATCAGCCTTAATGATGATAAATGTATGTTCTTATTCTTTGCAAGAAAAATACTAGGTTTTATAAAATGTAAACAAAAAAATTATTTAATCCTCTCAAAATCAATGACATCCTAGTATGTAACTATTGCAAGATCAAAATAAGATACAATAGGTTTTTGGCATGATTCAATTCAATCACATCTACATTAAACATTTTGCACACATTACTATACCTATTAGTGTTCTAAATCAAACAAACTATGACTATCTAACTCACTAGACCATGGAGAGCAACAGGCTTTTGAAACTATCAAAAAAGCATATACCAATATACTAATACTATTAGCCTCTGATTGATTTTTATAATTTTGGGTCCATACATACATGTCTAATATTGCAATAACAGTCATACTTGTCCAAATTTCCATGGACAAGGTTGACCAATCAATGCCCTATGTAAGTTGATTATTGAATCATACAAAATGCAACTATTTGATTATTGAGCGAGAAGCAATTGCTATATGCATATATATTTATATTTAACTATATATATATATATATATATATATATATATACATATAATTAAAAAAAATCCATTATTTATAAGATAATAAATTTTAATTTTTGGTGGATCATCAAAATTTGTTATATTTAGTAAATCAACAATTAATCACTAATCTTATTATGAGTGGGTAAAATTCATCCTTCAATTCAAATTAAAAGATGGTCGCAATTAAGAGTTGCTTGTAAGTGGTGGTATGAAGTGAAAGAAGCAAATAACAAGAACAAAAGAAGAACAAAAAATGAATAAATATAAAAAAGGTGAAATGAATGAAATCAAGCAATTATACATTCCAAAATTGGGTCGCAATTTTTTCATTGAGTTTTTACATAATAGAGAGTAATAATAAAAAGTAAATCATAGATATAGATAGATTCTTCCTAAAAATATACATTTTTTTATTATTATTTTATCTTTTCATTGTTAAAGTACCCATTTGTAGCATTCCATGGATATCTACTGAAGAGCCCATCATCCGTCCAATTCACCTACAATTCAACTGCAAAAGTTGAACAATGGGCATTCTAGATGTGATCTGAGTAACACAAGTGACCTGAACACTAGTTCCAGCATGCAATCAATGCGCCACAACTGTGAGTCAGCATGACTGCCAGTGCGAAGGCTGTAGGTTGTAAGCACACTCGCAAAAATATCATGAACACAGACATCGGCAGTTGAAGGGACGCACTTGAATGTGGCAGATGCCGCTGGCTGCGGCAGATGATGCTCACGTTTACAACTGATGTTAACAACCGTGCTGATTACAGACATGGTTTGATAGGCCCCTGTATAGAAAATAGCACCAATTGCTTCATGCAATTCGCAACGAGCTGTGGAATTCTCTCCTTTCCTCTTCGAACTAGTGAAATCGGCCATTGTTGCAGCTTCCAATCTGACTCGCTCTACCGACTTAATGGTCTACATTACACTATGCGCATTATTTCAAGCGGAGATTGAACCTAAATTTGGAGGAGAATCTCTAGTGGTACTCTGCTGTCGTCTGATTCAATTCGTCAAAGCTATGATAAGCTGCAAGTATGCACCGCAGTGTCAGTGTAAAGCACGTGTCTGGAAGTCAAGTTTAGGGGCAGCAGTTCACTTCATTGGCTACCATGGAATATGTACTCAATGTTGCCGAGCCTGCATGAAGAACGAGTTAGGAGAATATTACCAAAGTGCCGATTCATAGCACAAAGTTCTCAGTTGAAAGAAACATGAATGATTTGCAATCAATATTTCCAATTACCATGCACTTCATTCTAATTTCTGCTGACACCAACAAAAGCTCCCATTAGGATACGATCAATCTACATCTACAACCACATTTCAATTTTGCACTACCGTCATCTGCTTCATTCTTGTCAATTGTATGTCTTGTAAACAAAAAAGAAAAATCGAGGATGGAGGAATATCTCAACAATCGACATGGGTATCAGTGAAAAGTTCTTCTGCATCCTTGGATATTTGAAGAGGAAGGTGTCATGCATGTCATGCATTCCTTTACCTGACATTTGCCACAATCGCTAAAAACCTTCAACTGAACTGCCACATACCATGTGCTTTCAATGCTTGCAAACAAATAACGTGTGCTAACCACTATCAAAGATGAACCACTATCCTCAAACTGACCAGTGATCGCAAGTGCCTCAGCAATTGAAGGTTCATACTGGAGGCTACTCCCTTCAAATTCTACCTCAACTTCATCCGCTAATGCAGCTTCAAAAGAAAATGATCTGTTCCTACATCGACTTATTGTTGTTGGCATTCTGGTGGCTGTTCACCACTTTGTTGCTGGCTACCAGACGTCTTACGTGCATTACCCTGACGGAACGCACAATATAAGCATAAGATTCGAAAATTGACATGCCAAAGAGTTACCTAAAGTAGAGAAGATTACGCAAGATGAGGTATAACAGCAAGTAGTTCAACAAGATTTTAGATAGAAAAATATACCTTCGCCTAAGGAACTAAACGCTGCAAAACGAATCAATTAAAAAACGTTAATAAGGATAATACAATATAAATTCAGGTTATTTCATATCAAAAGTCAAATTTACAAAATAGGTGAAATCTGAAGGTATACCGGCAAATAACAACAGAATCAGAGCCAAGATTCGAATAGGTATCATATAGAACCTAGTCATTCAACATTGAAAGAAGAAAAACTTCATACATCAAGACACGTGCAAAAGTAAGGCAAGCATTCTGGAGTTAGTTTAAAGTATCCATAAAAGCCCAAAGAATGAAACTTCTTATGAATAAAGTTGCGGCCTCGTACTTCCTCATCGTCGTCCTCCTCATCGTCATCTTCGTCTTCATCCTCATCTTCATCATCACCTTCTTCATCATCGTCATTATCCTCATAATCCTCTCCATCCAAAGCCTCTCCGGTAAACCAGGAAACAACATTAGGTATAATCTTTTCTTTAATTGTTGATCTACAGCAAGGCAGCACTCTTCACATGTCAAGATCGAGTCCACAACATGGAACACTAAGTGGAGTATGGTGAAAGAGAAAGATATGCGACGGAGTTCTTACCGACTAAAAGCATTCAAGAAAATGTATTTCCAACACTCTTAAGTTGGGCTTAAATCAATCCAATATGCGCCAACAACTTGAAAACATAAATTTCTAAAATCCTGTTTCAGAATACAGGTAGACATCCCAATATATAAGATTTACGCCCCCAATGTCGTAGTCATTCAAGACCGAGTCTTGAAGTTGCCCCGCCTGGATTAAGAATTGGTGAGATACCAGTCATTAATTTCGTGACAATTGTACACTATAGGGTCTTATGCATCTAAATCTACCAAGCACCCATGTATGTATCACGTGATGATTGTACGATACATATTCTACAGGAAGAACAAGAACAAGAAGCCAGTAGAGATGCATATGAGGAAGTAAAATAACAAGAAAAAGCTGCTACCACCTCTTGATCAATGACATCATCCTCCGGCAGCAGTCGGGGTGGACTGAAGAAGTTGAAAAAACTTTCACACTGTTCAGTCTTTGCAACGGGCTTCGTGTTCTTAGCCCCTTTCTTCGCTTTCTTCTTCATCACCTTCTCAGTCAAGTTCTTGCCGACGTTCCATTCAATAGCCTTCCTAATAAACATGCATTAACAGATCAGAGAATCATTTTTCAAAGTTTTAAACTTAAAAGATAAAAACCATTTTTCAGGTTGAGATCAACGTGCAAGTACAACTCTTGAAAATAAGGTAAGTAGCCTTCGTTTTGACTTTCCAGTAATATCACTTTCATCTTGCTATAATGCCTACACCCACTTTTACGCACAAAGCTACCACCACCATGCTGAGTACCATATTCTAATCAAGAGGAGGTCTTTAAAATTGATTTACGAGGAACGAGTAGCAGGGAGAACCATAAGGTTGCTTTCTCTCAGACTAAATTAATTTCAAGTCATTAAATTGACGCTCAGATATCAAATGTGAATATCTCCAAAGATCTATTTACAAAGGTGGAAACCCAATTATAAGGCCTCAAACATCTTCTTACAGTTCTCATCGACAGAGTTGGAAACAGCGATGCTAAAGCAGCTGTTTCTAACCACAATCCAATAATTACAAGAAGCTAAGAAGCTACTACTGTCGCATGTCTCAAGGACAAGCGTCAATCTAGAAGTATATCTGAAGATGAGTGTTGAATTTCAGCAAAGAATATTCAACCAACAGCCTTCTCTAAGATTGGCTTGTAATCATCAATCATGTGGTATGCTTTGCTGAGCTGCCAGACGCCATGATATAACAATTTGTTAAACAGTATGCAACTTCTAAATATTAGATATGATCAGTCCCCCAAAATACACAGAATTGAAGCAGCATCCTGCGTAATTACAAGATGCTTTCAGACCTGACGATAAGATGCAAAAATAAAACATAACTGTAAGGGAGGGGATAGCAACAGGCTGAAATTTTGTCTTGAATCGTGCCCTTTAATCATCACAATTGTGAGTAGAACATACCAAAGTATTTTTGAAATAAGGATTTGTATCAAAAAAAAAAAAAAAAGGTAAAGCCTAAATCCCTTGAACAGCCCTGACACATAATAGTTGGTGCATTTAATGTCCTTAATATACTTCAAGGCATCTTCATCTCGTTCGGTAATCTGAGAGCATAATTTGGTTAGTACAAGTACCATCTTTTCCGTTCTACGCACAAGAATGTAATTAACCTCAGTTTGAATTCAAATAAATATAAATAAATTTTACTTTCGTGTGAATGTTTATGTTTAGAAAGGTTTACCTGCATGCCAACGATTTCGTTATTCATTGCTGTTAGCCAAAACTCGGGCACTCGACTGCAACACAGACTATTAAAACGTTGTACAATATGAGATACTCGGGTATCAATAATTACTCTTAATGATGGCATTCTGTGCAAAGTCGCTGCTCATCATAGTCAGCACAAAAGCATCATGTGCACCACCCAAATTGACGAACACATCACGAAAGACGAAAAGGAGGCCCTAACTTCGACCCTAATACTCCACAAGGGTTATTCGAGGGTAATGACACTACGAAGCATTATACCTTCTCGTCCTCTTCCATGGGCTCTTCAGCATCGGGAACTGCACTCTTCGAAACCTCAACCTCCACGTCGCCATTTACGATTTTCGATCTCTAACACAGCAAGAGAAAGTCCGTAAAGATTTTATGCAACACTGAAGAGAAATCAAACTATGGCCCGACATGCACTTCAGAACACTTTTGAATATTCCACGCGATCTCATTACGTCTGAAAAATGACCTACATACCTCCTCATACAATTTCTGGCATTTGGCTTCAAGAGCGGCTCTCTCCTTCTTGAACTTTGCTTCGAGCTCATCGTGTTCAGCCTGTAACCCATAAAATAAATTCATCCAGATGTCGTCATAATCTAGACAAAAGTCATTTTTTTACTGTTTGCGTTTCAGGTCCAATGTAGATTCCCAGAGTGATGCAGATCAAGGGACAAACCTATTCGAATCAAGCACATAAAAAATGCTTTTATCGTGCGGTGACCAACCACACCATCTAAAAGACAAGCTATCCACTGTGAAAAGCCGAAAGGACCTTACCTGCAGCCCTTCGAGAACTATCACGCGTCTCTTCGGCTTCGGAGGAAGTTTTTCCAAAAAGCCAGATGGATTTCCAGCTAGTGATTGTAGCTTCTCCTGATTGATTAGATTCTACCATTCAATTCAGAACTGTGTCTGAACCAAAGAATAAGACAATGAAAACACATAACAACGACCTTGTAAACATCGTCGCCACTTCAGATATTAACACGAATTGTCACTAGTGTAAGTTCATGTCAAAACTTGAAGAAAAAACACTTCCTATGACAAGAAAGCCCCAGAACTTTATAGATACTAAGATAATACGAAAATAGGATCAACACGAAAGATTACAGAGAAAAGCCGAATGAGAGCATATCAATGAAGGAAGAACAAGAGAACACACCTTCAGGACGTTCACCCGAGTTTCGCGATCTACATCACTCAGAGCTGAAATTTTGACAAACACGGTGGATATGAGTGATTTGTGAATACACAAGATCCCTTTGCCTGATGCTCACGAAATCCATAACAAGTCACTGTTGCAGTACCCCCAACTTTACTCAGAAGGAAATGGTTGGAAATAAATATCTAGTTTGACACGTTCTAAAAGGATTCATCCCGCTGTAGACTCATGTCCAGTTATATCACACAGGAATTCACGTTTTCTTGAATAACTAACGAAACTCGTTTGCCACGAAATTTTGGCAAGCTCACGCGCTGCAGAATAATCCGTACCTTTCAAACTTACACAATTACTGTTATATGACTGGGATAATTCAGACATGAAAAATCCGACCCTGATGCGCGAGAGGTGCGATAAGGCAAGAACAACGTCTTCTCAAGTGAAACATGGGCATCTTCACTCATATAAAAGAAGGGATACGCAATAAAAATATATACAATTGCAGAAAGGAATACGTTTCTTCACTAGATACACAATAGATTATACGTACAAGCCAAACCTAATCAAGTCGAACAAAGCTGCATATAGATATTACCCAAGCTAGCTGCATCAAAAGCAACATAAAGTAGCGTGGAAAAGACAATGTGGGAGCTCAGAACAAGAGAAAATCCTGCCTCATCGTTAAACTAAGTCGGGCCAGCATCCCGGCAGCTACTGTATTTCTTCATAAGACGAATACAGAAAGTCCCGAAAGACCAAGGCTGCAAATTCCTGGCAAACCTAACCCTTCGACTAAAACGACTCCTACATAACTCGAAAACAGTCACTTCAACCAGAGAAAATAGCGTCACTCCTACCAATCCTTAAGAAGGAAATTACAACATTCATGAACCACGATGCGTAGGGGTCACTTGTTGGTTCAAGGCAGTGAACTCACCAACTGTATCCGTTTCACCTACAGCGGAACCATCCGACACCAAGCTACCAGAGTAACACAGCCACGAAATCATGAGGGATCCCCCAGATCCCGCCAACAGAGCATCATTGTACACGAAAATGGATCCAAAACATCAGAAGGAATGAAGAAAACCACAGAAGAATCCACAGACGAGATCACCCTCTTCCAAAATTGTCCCTGAACGCAGGCGGAGGCCATGAAAAACTGACACTGCGTGGAGATGGATTCAGGATCGGGTGACGGAGCACCAAGTTGGAGGCGGAGTCGACCAATTCTAGTCTGTATCTGCCCGCTCTCTTTTTACTATTTTCTACATGCTAGTAATGGAAAAATCTTTGACCGGAGACAGCAAAATGGCTGCAGATCATGGAATAAGAACGATAAAAGCATGTTGGCTTTTTCGTGTAGGTGGTGTAGCCACTTATAGAGGTAAATGATTTACTTTGTTTGTAGAATTAAATACTGCTCAAAGCTGTCTAATTATGCTGCGAGATGCCTTCCTTGGAGCCAATCTTGCTCTCTTTATTCACATCCAACAATTTTTACAATCACGGAGGATACATTTAAACTACTGATTATGTTGCTGAAACCAAAAGCAATTTGTACACTTAAAAAAACTCTTAAACTTTACCAGTTTCTGCAGATGCACAAGTTTCAATAAAATTTAACTCTGAGCCAAGCAAGTGCTACAGTTCAAGTTTTTTAGGCTTCCGAATGAAATTGAGGTCTACTCACATCAAGAGATGGATGTCAGAGATTAAGAAAAGGATATTCCCAAACATGATTTTTGGAACAGACTTCAGTGGTGCTTGAAACAGGTAGAAAACAGAGCCATTTGTTGTCGTTTTTTTGGATCTGGTCTTTTGTGCGATGGACAAATTTTGGGTTTAACAATGAGAAGCCAAAAGGTGCACAGTGTCAAGTCCTCGAAGCACCAGTTGGACTACAGAAGCACCCAGAAAGAGGGACTTTCCGTCAATGAAGACAATGCAGACCCGGATCCCTGCTACCAGTCTAAAAGCCTTGCGGGATTCGAGCTCTCACTTGCGGACATGGTGCCCTACCATTGGTGCCGCTTACAATTGTCATAAACCACTAGGGCCATACTGAAATCTAGACAGCCGACCAGGACAGAGCAAGCAGAATAAGTGATGCAGTAAAAAAGAAGCATTGCATTGCATTGTCAAATCCCGCATGAACAATCAGCTTGCAGCCTGCAGGTTGACGCAAAAGTCACGAATTGAAAGCGGGGTCGGAAACAGGACATGAACTCATAATTGGTATTTACACACAAGGGAATTACTCGGCATTGTGACAGACAGACCGAGGAGAGGTGTAACTAGGAAAAGTTTACTAGCAAAACCGTGCGCTTCGACTGCCAGGCATTTGATCTCAGAAGCCGTGATGTGCCGTGAAGCATCTGCTTTGTCTTCTCCTATTCGCGAAATAACGAAGTGGATTGAGAAACACTCGGTGGGTCCGTGTCACCTCTCGACAGCTTCTCATTGCTGCTTCTGGGTTGCGTAGAGCTCATCGATTTGAGTCTGCAGTTGCAAATAGAAGCACATGGATTAGCTAGATATGGAAAATTAGTGCATAACTCATTACTTTATGAAGAAGAGAGGAGACTGCGTGCGCACCTTGTAGTACTGTAGCAACTGCGATCTCTTGAGCTTGAAGGTTGGGGTGACCAGATCACGCTCCATGTCAAATGGCAGGGGCTCTAGAACCACGCCTCGGATGACCTCAAAGCCCTTAACCTACCCCATCAAGAGGTTATCACAAGCAAAACCTTCACTTGAATGATGCAATTGTGGTTCACCATTGACGATCACCGGAGACCTCAGAGCAAGCACAAAACTCTTCCCTAATTATCCAGTGGAAAGGAAAATATTCCAAGTCTTCATTGATCTTGTAAACTCATACATTGACTTGTGCTTATTATCAGTTACCTTCTTTGCCTTTCCGGTCGCATTCAATGCTGCCATAATGTGTGCATGAGTTTTTGGATCTCGACAGATTCGAGCAAAGTCTCCCATCAAACCATTGTTTTTTGCCCACTCCTCAACTTTTGGTTGATTGGGAACGCAAACAGCCACCAGTGTCGACTCCAAGCTGTTTCCGTAGACCCAGATCTGCATAAGCTCAAGTGCATCTGACAATTGAAGGTTGCATGGGATGGGAAAAGTATGAAACAGAAAACTGCCACCGCTGTTTTCACCGTGAGTTTGCAAAACTAGGACTGAATGACGGACCAAATCATAACATTGCAATTAAAGCCCAAAGAAGAGATAAGCTCGTACACCTGATAGATTTTGTTGCTAGCCCCTAGATAAATGCACGACACTAGTACCTGATCCACAAGTTCACATTGACCATAAATGCTTTCAAGGTTCTCGACTGCAACGTATTCTCCTTGTGACAATTTAAAAATGTTTTTCTTCCTGTCGATAATCTTCATGGCACCATCCTCTTGCCATTCTCCAACATCACCTGCAGTACTATGGTCAAAATCAGCACTACATCATCAGCACTACGCTACGGATCTAGCTTGTTACCTGAAATACTCAAAGAGAAAAACTTCTAGAGGGGGATACAATCACACACAGAAAATAGAGAACTGTTGCAGAGTATGGGTCTTCGATTCAAATGAACTAAAACTGAATCACTGGCAGATGTATGACGAGCCCATGTGAGAGGGGACTGTACCAGTAGAGAACCAGCCATCGACAAGGACTTCGTCGGTGAGGTCTGGCCGTTTGTAGTAGCCAGAGAACAGTGTCTTGCTCCTGATGCAAATCTCTCCCCTTGCAGGTTTGCCAAGAGCATCATAACCCATCTCAGGTACCGACACTAGTCGAACCTCGATATTGGGGAGGGGAGGTCCCACAGTTCCATGCATGCTGATAACGTCTGGCACTTGAATGAAGGTTGCCGCGCACGACTCTGTCAACCCTGAGGATTGAACAAACATGATCCGTTGCGATTCATCGTGTATATCCGGAGGTTTAGCAATCTGTCTCGTGTTCAGTACTTTAGGCACAAGTTACAGAAGAAAGGATAAGCATCCATAGACTGGCTTGTGCTCTGTTGAGTGCAAATTCTCAAAAAAAGAGAGAACGATTAAGGTGTGTACCGTAGCCCTGAACAACTGGGGCACAAGTGACAACCCGCAAAAACTCCTCCAAGTGAGAAGGAAGTGGTGCAGCCCCAGATATAACGCACTTGACATTTCCTCCAAATGCCATTTTGACCTGGATTGTATTAACCTCGAAACGTCATGGACAAGTAGTAGTGGTAGAAAATAGTTCTGAAGTAGCGAAGCGAACAAAGTGAGACAGATGATTGACACACTGAGAGTGAGACTCGGAAATGATGACGGGCAACATGAACAACTAACCTTGTTAAATATGATCTTGTCCAATATTGGGGCAGCTTTATCATGCTTAAAACCATTGTAAAGAGACTTTAGCTTCCTAGAATATGTCAATGCAATGTAGGATACGGGTCAGTCCTGTGAAATCAGGAAACCCAACTTATGATGGTAGCATATATCTGAAAGTGACCACATATCGAAACGATTTACAAGCTTTAAGTAATGCAAAAAGGGGTGTCTAGGCGTGATACATATCGAAAGCGTAATGGAACATCATCCTCTTGGCTCCACCGCCAGCATTAATCCTTCCAAATATTCCTGTTTAGATCCAAACAGATTTGTGTTAAGTTTGCAAACAATGACCAATAGAAGCCTCAGCTGTCGATATGCTACTGGAGGCGGTGAGCTGGGTAACGCACCAGCATGAATCCGATTATAGACGCGAGGAACTGCGACGAATAGTGTTGGCTTCAGCACAGCTAGATCTTCCGTGATCTTCTTGACATCCTGATGACCACACCGCAAGATAAATAGATTGCTTATCGTCCGACCGTTCAGGTCTAAGAAACAATGAGTTCATTTATCTCCAAAATCAAGAGGCTTCGATTTAGCAGAATCACACCCAGTTCTTCATTTCAAGAGATAATTTCCGTTCATTTTGGAAAAGAAAGCAGAGGAGATGTTATTAGTAAAAATAATAATTCTGTATGAGAACAATTAGACTGCTACTTCAGTTGAATAAAAGTCCTTCCTGCACTTCAAGATGTATTGATTAACCAGGAGATGAGGAAAAACAGTCTACAACATACCCCTTGCCAGTAGCCAATTGAAGCTCCAAGAAAAACAAATAACTCTTCAGTAAGACGATCAAAAATATGAGCCAGAGGAAGAAAGGAATAGTATACATCCTTTTCGGTTTGCTGCAAATATCAAGAACCAAACACGATTACCTCGGTCACAGAGGAACAAATTTAAATCCCATTTGTGCATTCCAGAAGTAAAAACATGTAAAGAATGAAACGTCAGAAGAATTTAGAACTCTTCAGTGGTTTACAAGGTTTCAGAAAATACTCTCTTAACGCGAAGATTCAAGACGAAAGCTTCACTCCATTGGAGTAAAACAAAAAGCATACAATCTGTTCGAACATCAAACTACTAAACTTCGTATTTACCTGCTGACCCCTCTCTCGAAGGAAGTGATCATAACCGATGATGGCGCACAAAATGTTCGCATGGCTTAAGAGTACTCCCTTGGGTTCACCAGTTGTGCCACTAGTGTACATAATTGTGGAAATATCTGATGTTGTTGGAGGTGTTAAGTCTGTTGGGTTATTCTTTCCCTGAAAATCACCCATTTCACAAAGAGCTGCTACATTCAGAAATGTAGAATTCCACGTCTTAAATATCATAAAATTACTAATATGTTATCAAAGGATTAAGGACGATGAATTGGGTAACATGAAACCTACTAGCTTCAAAAATTCATCCCACGACAGAAGAGCTGCTCCTGAGGCCTCAGCTTTGCTCCTCTGTGCAGCGGAGCATGTTGAAAAGCTCACAATTTCTGAACATGCAAATAGCAGTTGAATAAAACGAGGGAGTGAACAGAGACAACACCATATCCTATAATAGATAGGATTACGTAGAAAATTCTAGACTGGTTTGGCGTTTCAGAGTCTCTTGGTCTTTTGGAATATATCTCAGCAATTTCAAGCACCTCAAAGGGAAATGATCGGACACATTTCTGCAAAATGGACGAAGCTGCCGGACTACGAAGCTTCATCAACAACTTCATTCAATGAGACAGAAAGAGTTGTCATACTTTTCAATAATTTCGTGCACTTAGGAAGAGTAGCGAGAATCTGCAGCAACAGCAATAAACAACCCTTATTAACACACACACACACAACAAAGCAAGACATCCAGAAGAGAATTTGTGTTAAAGCATGGGATTTGGTATGTATTACATTTCATCTCCTGAATTAGACTTACTAAATCAAGCTTCGTATCCTGCACAAAAGCAATTGAAACTTCCGCGTGGTTGATGATGTATTCCACAGCCTCATTTCCTGCCAATGAGCATAAATTACCGAAAAAATTACACGTGAACAAGAACCAGCTGCAAAGCAACACAACATAGCTTGAATCATTTCGACAATAGCGTCAATCTCTGATAACCAATCAAGGCCGAATTGGCTGTCCACGTGAACGGAACCAGGAAATGAGGCAAGATGCATCACCCAAAGTCTCATAGAGAGGGACACAGAGCATGCTCTGAGCGTTACATGCCTACCAAAATCCAACATCCAAATGAATCAGTTCCACAAGCAAGAACATCTAAAACCTCAAGCTAGGTAGAAAAAGGAGCACTAGAAATAACTCAAACGTTACAAAATAGCTAACCCAGTAGTTTTGTTACTTCCAAGTTCTACAGCACATTAGTGACAAGAATGTGAAACAGCAAAATGCCAGCAAGGCATGAAAACTTGCGGCACAATCAACGAAGGAGCACAAACCTCCATGGCCATAAACCATTCACTGCAATTTGCGCCATAAATTCCTACTTTGCTTTTCTGCATATGGAACACTTGCTTTTCAGGGGAATCAGCTCAATAAGTGTAATAGAAAATAAAATAAATTAAATCCGTAATCAAATTTTACTTTCAAAAACATCTTAAAAACACGTGTATACGTAGTTTACATCAAATCAACAAAATTATACACATAAAAAGGTTGTGATTAAATAAGAAACAATTCAATTGACCCTGAAAGCTGATCACTTATGATAAGCTATCTTGCTCAGATCATAGACGCAATTCATAGTACTCTTATTAGTTCAAAATGCTTCGGAATACAGGGGAAGCGGCCCACGTAGCAACAGAACTAACCGGCTGCACACCGACATAGCGAATAGCGGCACCCAAATTTATCACAATGTTGTAAACCTCCTCGTAGGTAAGCCACACGTAGTCTCCAGCCTGCCAGAAAAAAAATAGTATAATTAGCTCAGAACTCACTGAAGAATTCCAACCATTAAACAGGCTCAATCCTTACATGATAGCTAAATGAGTTGGACTTAGGCACTTACCGAACCATTGACCATTTCACGACGTCCAAGCATTTTCTTGTCGGGGTATATCTCTTTAGATTTACTGCATACACAAGTTCCAGTAATGAAGACGTAGGCAGATATCTGCTCTTGCTGTAGGATGCGGCCATTTGCATACTTAGACGATCAACTAAAAAGTTACCCACCGAAACCATATGCATGTGTACAGCATCGAAATCCGACCAGATCTCTGAAGGAGGCAGACAGAACTCCACCATCGCGGAAAGCCAAACAAGTAGGACTGTTTATGAAATGTTGTTTTTCAAAGAAAGGTTGGAATTATAAATAAGCAACTAAATAAAATAAAAACTAGATGCTTAAACCAGCTTCAACGTTTATTAACATCACAAAGCAGAGGGGATTCTGGCATATCACCCATGACAACTAATCAGGATCCACTTGAACGGAAAAGTCCAGAACACGTCTTCATTACTGGAACTTGTGTATGCAGTAAATGCCAACAACAGTTGAAGCTCGTTACTTTCACTTGATTTCAAACAATTGGGGATAAACTGGAATCACACTCTAGGTACTTCAATTTTCACAGCAGATACACACGCCTCGAACTTCATAGTACAATTAATGCGACCTCTAAAAAGATTCAAGAACTGCTCCATGAAAATCACACAAACAAGCGATCATCCCACCGAAACAAGCTCTAGATGACGTGAGAATGCATTGCATTGACAGTAGCCTTCACAAATGTCCAAACAACAATTGCGCTGCACAGAGGGAGAGAGCGAAAGACTTACACGAAACTATCCCAAGTTGATTGCATTCCTTCATGCAGATCATCCAGGCCATCTTGAGAATAGATGCTCTTGTACACAGCTCCTTTGGATAGTTCTCCTTCACCTCTGCCTGGCTGACCTTCCTCAACCATTACAACAAATGACTTCTGATCACCACGGTTCGTCATTGTGGGCCAAAAAACTCAAACTCGTCCTCTCGACGTGGAGCACCCACCTCGTCAAAACTCTATAACAACAACAACAAGTGAAGAACTCGCAGGACTCGAGCGTCCTCGACGTCTTTGCTCCGCAAGTCCTGCCAAGCTTCACAAATTGCGAAGCATGTCGACAAGCTCGACATCGAGAGCAGCAACTCAGCCTCGCCGAACTCTCTCACTCAACTGTCAAGCATTTATAATTTGGGTGATTGGTTTTTTGGTATTGTTCGTATTGGCATGTATTGGTATGTACCAGTATAATTGCACTACATAGTTGGTGTGAGTGTGGGAGTGGCCTCAACATCTGCCTCAATAATGTATTTTATTACTAGCCTGGTAGAAAGCACATGAATTGTCAACAAAACTGTTCTGCATGGTGGACTGAAGGTCTATATCCTCACCTACACAAACAAAGCTGATCTGCTGCTGTTGATGTTGCTCTTGCTGATCCCACTGCTAACTCTCTTGCATCTTTTCTCCTCTTCTCTTCCTTGTGATTTAATAGTGGGAGACGCCTTTATGGTTCAATTACAACATCACAATCTTTCTTTATGGGTTTTCTTTTCTCTTTTTTATTCTTTTGTGGCAATCCAAAATAAGGACTTAAAGTATGTAAAATTAATATTTGTTTTGTCCAAGTAGCTTTAGTTGGTTAGGTGGTAGAAAAGTTGATCATATCTTGGCAAAAAACTTAGTGTAAGTTTCTAATAATGAGATATTTTAGGAAGTTGAAATCAATCATCTAATAAGACTTGACACCATTGTTTCAAATGTCTTGTTTTATCATCATATAATTTAATGATTAAAATAAATAAATAATCTTCCTCCTCTTCGTAAATAGATTGCTTCATTTCGTATTACAATTATTGTGCATCATCTTGGTAGATTAAATTGATCTTTTCTGCACAATTACTATGTATCATCTTGGTAGATTAGGAATTAAAAAGCACCAACCAAAAAACATAGTTCTAGCATAAATATATTATACAGATGAAATATTTATGGATATTAACCATTCAAATGCATCTCTGAATATATATATAAATATACCAAAATTTCTTTGATAATTATAAAATAATAAATCTGATTAAAATAAAGAACTACATAAGTATTTAATGCAAGAAATATCAATATATAATTATATTTAAAATTTTCAAGCAAAATTTCAGTGGTTTTTATATTTTTTCTATATAAAATGTTATTTGTATAGAAAAAAAAATATATATTTCTTAACTTATATGTCATAATTTACCGAAAAAAGTCTTTTTTAATCCATTCAATAGATTTTATTAAACTATTAAATTATACCATTAGACTGTATAATTTCAATAATTGTAATAGTCTTTTAAAAATAAATTCTATTATTATACTTTACAAACTGTTTTTTATGTATAACTTGCAAGTTTCTATAAAAAAATAAAATCTTATTTTACATTTTTGAAATTTTATTTTAATTTTAAATGAGACTTAAATTTTTAAAAGTTAAAAAAAATAGAAAAATTATGCTTGAAATCACCATAAATAAAAATCAATAAAATAAAATCTCTTAACGAAAAATCTTAAATTCTTTCTATAATATTCAAAAAGAACTAAGTATGCTAGTTCCTTTTACATAATTGTTTCTTGAATTTTTTATTGATTATTATTCCTAATTTTTTAATTTAAAACACATATTATATTTTCAAAAAAAATATTATTCTTTTTTATCATTATTTTTGAATCTTCTGCGATCATACTTCTATACATAGATTATAATATTTCCAATAATGGTTCTAATAAGTTTTAATTATAGTAAATCTATATAAAAATAGTAAAATACATTCACATCTATGTGTACATAGGTAAAGTTATTAATGTGATATTTCTCGTATTTGACCAACTACATGAACTAACAATCAAAATAGTTCAAAGAGTAGATTGCAGTAGCGAGACTGCTGCAACAACTGGTAAAAAGAAGGTGTAACAAATTGGTCTTGAGGTGCATGCAACCAACATGGCACAATAACACATGAAATTATAAAACCTAATTTATTTTTAATATAAAGTCCAAAGTCCCAAGTCAAAGGGAGGAGTGACAAGTTCCAACCACAACTGGGTACAAAATGTATGTATGTACAATTTAATGAAGAACCCAAAATGAATTGAAAAGACATCAGCTACCCTCAACAACCTCCATAATGGGAACTCTAAAGCACCCCACTAAGGCCATAGATGTCAATATTGGAGGACAGTTCCTGCAAAAGCGAGGGATGTTCCAGTGTGTAATTGCCCAGTTTTGAGGACAGTTTTGGATTGGAATTAGAGACATATGATCCCCTGGCATTGTGAGCATTGTCATTTGTATGTCAAGATTTTGTTCACCAACATGTGTAAACTTATGCTTCATTCATATCCTTGAATGTCAGCATTTAGCAATTCTATGTTGTGACTTTCTAAGCATGAAACAAAACGAAAAGAAGAGCATGTTTTTGCAACACTCTTCTTTTCAATCAGAGTGAAAATTTAAACATTTGATTGATTTGTTTATTTTGTTGCTTTTGTTGTCATTTTTTGTGGTTAGTTTGTATTGTTTTTTGGTTTTTTTTTGAAGAAATAAGATAGATAGTGATGTTAAACTCAGCTTTCATGTTCTGCCAATTGACTTTGAACAATTGAGATTATATAAACAGTGTGAGTTCTTGCTTTCTTCTTTCCTTCTTTCTTTCCAATAACTTAAGAAAGATGCATTGATAAAGTATAACACATTTTTTCATAAAAACTTAAGGGCTAATTATTGGATTTTTTTCATAACGAAAATGTGAAATATTACTCTATTAAAAGATATTTTATTTTAATTCTATTTGATTCATACGATCTGTTGGATTAAACCTTGAAATAATCATGATTTTGTGACCATTAGTTTTTATTTTTGAAGGTATTTCCTAAGAAAAAAAAATGTGGATTTTTGGCAAGTGGTCTCATAAGGCAACATTCATGTGGAAAAAATTACATTGTGCAAGTAACTGATCAGTTGCCAAAGTTAAAGATTCATCAATCATAAAAATTATATTATCAATTGAGTAACTTACATAAATTTTAGAGGTAAAATACATATTAAAATATCATATATATATATATATATATATATACACATATATACAATTCTAATAATTGTAATAGTTTGTAAAATAAAATTCTATTATTATACTTTACAAAATATTTTTTTATTTATAACTTGCAAGTCTCTACTAAAAATAAAAAAAATAAAATCTTATTTAAGAATTTGGGATTTGTCTTTATTTTCTTTTATTTATTACATTTTATCTATTTTCTGGTTTATATTTTTTGTTTTATTTTCATGGAGGTGGTGTGCATACAAATAATACAACCTCCAAACTCATACTAAGGCCTCCTCCTTCTTTTTACTATGTCAGCTACTTTTGCAAAAATTTTATAGAAAAGGAGTCAAATCACAAACAATATTGCTCCCATTGGGATCAAAATCATTGAAGGGAAAAGAAAATAGGATATTAGATATTCCTATCAACAAATTTCACATTCAACACAAATCATTCAAATTATAAACAAAGTCATTAATACTCACCATAATATTGGGTTGCATGCATATATATATATATATATATATATAATTTAAATAAAAAAGAAAGTTTTAGATGTATTAATGTAATGCAAACACATGTAAAATTCGGTTGCATGTGATGACTCCATACTACAAGGCAAGTCAATGGTCTTTCAATGGATTTGGTGGCCAATAGCTTTGGACTTGTGTCCCACACAACAACATCAATAGAATTACTCTACCTACTTCAAGAAGCTTGGTATGATGGTCAAATTATTATAAAACTCATAAAGAGAAAAACTAAATTTCTACAAATAAAAAATAAAAAGATAAAAAAATAAAAGTGTAAAAAGTTTAATTCCTCGTCAATGCAATTATGATTTGGCTTTTTGTCAACATTAGGTCCATGTTTCATCCTTCCTTTATTCTTTGCAGTATGAATGATTATTTATGAGATTTGTTTTTGTTTCAGATTGTCTTTCTCTTCTTTTTCTTTTTTTTTTTTTTTTTTTTTTCTATTCTCTTTTGTTTTATGGGTTTTTTTAGACTTTTATTTTGGTTTTTTTTATTTATTATTTTTAAATTAGGAAACATCAATCTGAGACTTGATATCTATATTTGAAAAAAATACATGGTTTTCTTCTATGTGTATAAATAAAAATATATAAAATCCCAGTAAAAATATCCAAAAAATTCAAAAATGAGACCACTTAAAATCATATGATTAATTGTGCAAATCTACTATTCATGATGTCTATTAAAGAATTCAATGAATTTTAAGGTTTTTTCTAATTTACGTTAATTGATAATCTCAATATGGTTTAATAAGGTTTAAATTTTTTAAAAAAGATATTTTATACCACCATAATTAAGGTTGTGTTGAAATTTTATTTCAAGTGTTTAAGCTGCAAAACCTCATTCTAGTATTTTTCATATGCCTTTGAAATAGGAGCATCTATGTAGCAGCTTCATTTTGTTCTAGATTTAATGGGATATTTAGTGTGTGTGTATATATATATATATATATATATATATATTAGATTTGAAATCAATTAAAAATGTTGAGTCGTTCAAACTTGGGTGGTCAGTTTTATTATATTGATATTTTTTACTCTTCTGAAAATGACATGACCAAACTATGATTCAATAATAATTAACAAAAAAATAAGTAAATTATTATTTTTCTGTTAACTTGATGTTCAATAAGTGAATTATTTTCTTTTGATAAAATGAAACATGAAGACATTACTTGTAATTACAATTTTTAAATCAAATAATAATTAAAATAATTTAACCATTCATAGAAAATCTTATTTTTAGATTAATTTTTATTAATCTTCTTAAAAAAATTATATTTAGATAGAAAATGTAGATAAAAATAACTATTTTATAAATGGAATTTTAATTCTTTTAATATAAATTATTTATTAAAAATCATTTTATTATAAAAGAAAGTTGCTTTTAAGTTCACATTGGATTTTTGGCTACAATTTAATAACTTTGAAAAGTAAGTAAAATTAACAAACTAGATATTTAAATTATTTGCCATAATAAAAATAATAGTTATAAGAAATAAAAATCTACACTAAATTTTCAAAGAAATTAAAACATTAGAGGATTTTTGTCAATAATATAATTTATTTTTCTATGTTTCTAAATAATTACATTCTTCTTTATTTTATTTCTAAACAAATCTATGTAATTGTATCTACTTGCCAAAAAAAAACTTTTTTGCCATAAAAAACATAATAGTAAGATTGCTTGTTGATCTCTTTGTAAAATTTAAAGATGCGATTTACATATTA